ACCCACTGCAGAAAACTACAGCAGAGGGCGGAGACTACAGTAGTCACTGCACAAAGGATAGGGAGAAAAGCTGTAGGAGGGACCCAGTAGGCTCCACCCACTGCAGAAAATTACAGGAGGGGGGGGCGGAGACCAGACCAGTCTCCCTGCACTAATGAGAGGGAGCAGAGCTGTAGGAGGGAACCAGTAGGCTTCACCCACTGCAAAAAACTACAGGAGAGGGCGGACACTACAGTAGTCGCCCTGCACAAAGGAGAGGGAGAAAAGCTGTAGGAGGGGCCCAGTAGGCTCCACCCACTGCAGCGAAACTACAGGAGGGGGCAGAGACCAGACCAGTCACCCTGCACTAATGAGAGGGAGCAGAGCTGTAGGAGGGAACCAGTAGGCTCCACCCACTGCAGAAAACTACAGGAGAGGGCGGAGACAACACTAGTCACCCTGCACTAAGGAAAGGGAGCAGCACTGTAGGAGGGACCCAGTAGGCTCCACCCACTGCAGAAAACTACAGGATGGGGCGAAGGCAAGACCAGTCCCCTTGCACAAGGAGAGAGAGCAGAGCTGTGGGAGGGGCCCAGCAGGCTCCACCTACTACACAAAGCTACAGGAGGGGGTAGAGACCAGACCAGTCACCCTGCACTTATGAGGGGGATCAGAGCTGTAGGAGGGACCCAGGAGGCTCCACCCACTACAAAAAGCAGGAGAGGGCGGAAACTAGACCTCTACCCCTGCACAAGCAGAGAGAGCAGAGCCATGGGAGGGGCTCAATAGGATACGCCCACTACTAGTGTTGGGCTAGATGTTTGAGTTGAACGTACGTTCGGCGAACACACAAATGGTAAGGGTGTTCGGCGAGTTGTTCGCCTGCCGCGCCCCACAATGTACTGCGCCCCTAACAGTGCACTGTGATTGGCCAAAGCAATGCACCTGACCATAGGTCAGGCCAATCACAGCGCATGTGACATCATCACAGTATTTAGGAACTGTCATTGCGGCACAGCGGTCAGGCGGCGGGAGCCAGCGTCGAAAACGGAGCATTTTTTTTCTTTTTTCAGGCGGTGGCGGCCGGCATCGCAATTGACGTCAGATCTACTTTGGGGGAATTGTCTTTTTATTTTAAAAAAAGTACTTGTCAAAGACTGTCTCCTGTCATTTTTTACATTACCCGTTTTTTTTTTTCTGTGAATGGTACTGCATACTCGTTCACATGGGGGGGGGGGGGGGGATCTGGGGGCCACCTTGTTGAAGGGGGCTTCCAGATTCTCCACCTGCAGACCCCCACAAGCACAGCCCAGGGTTGTGGGGAATAGGCCTTTTTCCTCATCAACATGGGGACAAGGTCATTGGGGGGGACAAGGTCATTGGCGGGCGCCCCCCCTGCCCGAAAGCACCCCCCCATGTTGAGGGCATGTGGTCTGGTATGGTTCGAGTAGGGTTGCATGCACAGATAAGGGTCTGGTTTGGATTTTGGGGGGATCCCCACGCCATTTAAAAAAAATAATTGGCGTGGGGATCCCCTCAAAATCCATACCAGACCTGAAGAGTTTGGTATAGATGGGGCGGGAACCCCACATGGTTTTTTTTTTTTTTAAATACCGGGCAATGCGGACAATTCTTTTTACATTCAGCTGTCAGTAGGGAACCCCACTACAGGAAGGGGCGGAGACAAGACCAGTCCCCCTGCACAAGGAGAGGGAGCAGTAGTGGGTGGTCTTTATTCCAGGAAGTCTCACCCTGGATGACGGCACGGATCTGGAAGAAGATTCCAGAAGACGACATGGATCTGGAAGAAGATTCCAGAAGATGACACGGATCTGGAAGAAGATTCCAGAAGACGACACGGATCTGGAAGAAGATTCCAGAAGATGACACGGATCTGGAAGATTCCAGAAGACGACACGATCTGGAAGAAGATTCCAGAAGACGACACGGATCTGGAAGAAGATTCCAGAAGACGACACTGATCTGGAAGAAGATTCCAGAAGACGACACGGATCTGGAAGAAGATTCCAGAAGACGACACGGATCTGGAAGAAGATTCCAGAAGACGACACGGATCTGGAAGAAGATTCCAGAAGACGACACGGATCTGGAAGAAGATTCCAGAAGACGACACGGATCTGGAAGAAGATTCCAGAAGACGACACGGATCGGGAAGAAGATTCCAGAAGACGACACGGATATGGAAGAAGATTCCAGAAGACGACACGGATCTGGAAGAAGATTCCAGAAGACGACACGGATCGGGAAGAAGATTCCAGAAGACGACACGGATCGGGAAGAAGATTCCAGAAGACGACACGGATCGGGAAGAAGATTCCAGAAGACGACACGGATCTGGAAGAAGATTCCAGAAGACGACACGGATCTGGAAGAAGATTCCAGAAGACGACACGGATCTGGAAGAAGATTCCAGAAGACGACACGGATCGGGAAGAAGATTCCAGAAGACGACACGGATCGGGAAGAAGATTCCAGAAGACGACACGGATCGGGAAGAAGATTCCAGAAGACGACACGGATCTGGAAGAAGATTCCAGAAGACGACACAGGTCCAATGGACTCATTATCCCGGAGTTCAGCTTTAATCCTGATGAACATTTATATCACTTTATTACTTCTTAACCTCTTCACACCAGCCGAACGCAAATGTGCGTCTGGGCCTAGACGCTGAGCGGCCGCACATTTGCGTTCCATTAAAAAAGAACATATGTGCTGAGAGCGCACGCCCTGTGCGCTCCCTGCACACATGTCCGGTACTCACGAAAAGGTCCCGATCTACTCTTTCGATCGGGACCTTTCCCGATCCTGTGACGGCACGTCACGGCGGTCACATGACTCTAAACCCCGCCCCGCCTCTCGGCTTCTGAAACCCTTAAAGGGCCGGGAGGCGCCGGCTTGAAGGGGTTAAGTAAAATGTAAACACAGTTGTGACTGCAGAGATACCGCAACAGCAAAAAAAACTGTTCAAATGTTACATTGGCGTCTTCCTCATCCATTGTTTACATACGTGTAATTCTATGACTTGTGACCGGATCCCAAACTAGAAAACACAGCCATTGCAATGATGACCTCACATGTAGACTGATGACATCATTGTCAATCCTTTGCTTTGTAATAAAGTTGTTTTTGTAGGGCATAAAGCCGATGTTACACATTTCCTGCTGTCTTGGTTCCACCTGCTGGTCAGAATTTAGACTTCCTTTTAAAGCTGAAGTTTAGACTTCACTAACCCCCGGGTTCATATCTATGCGGCCGCGCGGCACGAGAGCGCAGTCATTTGAATGGAGTCCCGCGCCCCGTGACACGCAGGGAAGAAGTCCCTGCACTTCTTCTGTAAACGCAGCGAGATTCCCAGTACGGTTGCGTTTTCGGTGCGGGCGGCGTGCCGTTTGAAGTATGGCACCCGCCCGCGGGTCCGCATTTCTCTGTGCGGGTGGTGCGGCTGCACAGATTTTCGTGCAGATCCGCAGCCGCACCACCCGCACAGATGTGAACCTAGCCTAAAAGCAGATCAGTTTCGGCCCCGGTTCACGCGTCTGCGGTGCGTCACATCGCATGTGATGACAAATCGCATGTGCACCGCATTCCCGTGCAAATCACATTCGAATTCTGTGCGGTGCGATCGGAGAAATCTCACCGCATCCACACCAAAAAGGTGCAGCTCCCTTTTTTTGGTCCACACTAGAATGGGATCGCGTGGCTATTCACACCTGATTCTGCACATCGCACGGCATTTTGCGAACCGATTTCGGGGTGTTGTTAACATACACACCGCATGGGTTCGCATGAACGGGCTGTGATTGTGATGCGGTGCGGAATTCGCTGCAAATTCCGCACCGCATCAGTGTGAACCCGGTCTTAATCAGTTTATATTTTGCCCTCCCTGATTCTTCCCTCCCCCGTCACCAACATGCGAATAAAATGTCCACATAAAACCTTTCCTTTTTCATAACATACCTTATGTTATACCTAGTGATGTCATCACCAGGTCTCTGTGCTTCACTATGCAGTGCAGGCAGATCATGGCTGGTGGGTGGGGCCGCCAGGGTTTCGTAAGTAGCTTTCTGAAAGCATCACAGCTCACTGCCTCAGTACTCCTCTACAGAGCCCTCAGTCCTGATGCAAGCGGTGGGAGGAGTTAAGCACATATCAGAATGCCTTGATGGATGGTTGACAGTCTGGAGGAGTGGGGGTTCCTAGGTGTATCTGCATAGGCATTGCCTGTGGGTGATGCTGAGACTCCATAATTGACAGAACCAGGGGCGGACTGACCATTTGGAAACTCGGGCACTGCCCGAGGGCCCGGGGTCAGTAGGGGGCCCCATGAGATGCCCCTGGTACCTTTTTCATAGGCTTTTTTGATTTTGGGCAAGGACAGAGGGGCCCCATGATCCCCTATTGCCCGGGGGCCCCATGAGTTGTCAGTCTGCCCCTGAACAGAACTGAATTCCAATGAAGGGGCGGGGCCAGGGACAGCCAGACAGAGGAGGAAAGTTTTAGATGATGCTGGATGTCCTCCAGCCAGGAAATGAGGCGGGCTCTAATGAAAGGTGCGGGGCCAGGGACAGTGAGGCTGGGGTGGAAAGTGCTAGATGATGCTGGATGTCCTCCATCCATGAAATGGGTCGGAGCTCTGACTGACTGGCTGCAGCTTCTAATGTGCATTGTGAGAAGCCCACAGTGTGCGGTGACATCAGAGGAAGCCGTTTCAGTCCAGGGGAGGAGCCGGTACACCTGTGCAAGACTGAAGGGGAGGAGCCGGTGCAAGACTGAAGGGGAGGAGCCGGTGCAAGACTGAAAGGGAGGAGCCAGTACACCTATGCAAGACTGAAGGGGAGGAGTATCTGTGCAAGATGATGGGAGGAGTCGGGACACCTGTGCAAGACTGGAGGGGAGGAGCCGGTACACCTGTGCAAGACTGAAGGGGAGGAGCTGTTACCGGTGCAAGACTGAAAGGGAGGAGTACACCAGTGTAAGACCAAATGCAAGCCAGTGAAGACTGGGGAGGAGCCAGTACAGCTGTGCAAGACTGAAGGGGAGGAGCTGGTACACCTGTGCAAGACTGGAGGGGAGGAGCTGGTACACCTGTGTAAGACCAAAGGGGAGGAGCCAGTGCAAGACTGAAAGGGAGGAGCCAGTACACTGTGCAAGACTGAAGGGGAGGAGCCGGTACACCTGTGTAAGACTGGAGGGGAGGAGCTGGTACACCTGTGTAAGACCGAAGGGGAGGAGCCAGTGCAAGACTGAAGGGGAAGCCAGTACGGGACACCTGTGCAAGACTGAAGGGGAGGAGCCGATACACCTGTGCAAGACTGGAGGGGAGGAGCCGGTACACCTGTGTAAGACCGAAGGGGAGGAGCCGGTGCAAGACTGAAGGGGAAGAGTCGGGACACCTGTGCAAGACTGAAGGGGGGGAGATGGAGGGAGGATAGACTGAAGGGGGGGGATAGAGGGAGGAGAGAAAACTGAAGGGGGGATGGGGGGGAGGAGAGAAGACTGAAGGGGGGCCGGAGGGAGGACCATCTATAAGATTGATAATTGTCCTTATGGTGGCTCCTTCATCCAGACGTTCCTTTTCCATCCCTTATTATGGTCATTGTGCTATTATCAGGTCACTCAGCAACATCACTTATCACTGTACATATACACCTAACCACTCTCACATTTTCAGGTAATGTAGATGTAACCCCCCCCCCGGGTGACATAGTCTGCTCTGTGTGCTGCGTGTCACAACAAAATTGCCATTGTTAAAAATAAAATCCTTGTTTTTACCATTTCCCTGCATTGTCCCATCTCAGTGCTGATGATCTCCTTCAGCCTCTTTGCAGCCACTTCCTGTCTCCATACCCTCCAGTGATGGTGGCATGGCGTTTCTCAGGGCGGATTCCTGATGAAGACAATAGTGAACCGTGTCTGTGCAATGTGGGCTGAAACGGCCAATTGTAGTCTCCATCAGAAGCCCATGTGACAAGGTGACAATGCATGAGTACAGTTGGGAGGCAGGGACAGAGCGTTGTCACCCTATAACAGGAAGTGACCTTCATGGCAGGATCACCGAGGTTATTTTAATGAAAGCTGCAGTTTGAAAATAATTTTTAAAATGACATTAATATGATAAAGATGCTATGAGATTGAAGCGATCGGGATTACATCCATTATATTAGATTCCGCTTTGCATTCTCCATACAGTACAAACACATTCAGGAAATCCCATTCTTCTTTGTTATATTATTTCTTTATCATTGAATCCTTCTCACTCCAGGCAGAGTTATGACATCAGTAAGGACGATACGCAGTACAGCACTGGGACCGAGATGCAGGTGAGGCATTCATTCACATTTGGACAATTACGTCTCACAGCAAAGATCTGAAGAGCTTTAATCACATCTGACCAGCTGTTCAGGGGTTAGGGTTGTGAATCAAATATTTTTGTCTAATACAGGTCTAATACAGGTTCATGTACTAGTAGAGGTCCATGCTACAGTAGAGGTTCATGCTCTAGTAGAGGTCCATGCTACAGTAGAGGTTCATGCTCTAGTAGAGGTCCATGTACTAGTAGAGGTCCATGCTCTAGTAGAGGTCCTAGTAGAGGGTCTAGTAGGTCCATAGTAGAGGTCCATGGTCTAGGTCCAGTCTAGGTCCATGGTCTAGCAGAGGTCCATGTCTAGTAGAGGTCCATGCTCTCTAGTATGACTGTCCATGCTCTAGTAGATGTCCATGTACTAGTAGATGTCCATGCTCTAGTAGATGTCCATGCTCTAGTAGAGTCCATGTACTAGTAGATGTCCATGCTCTAGTAGAGGTCCATGCTCTAGTAGTAGGTCCATGCTACAGTAGAGGTTCATGCTCTAGTAGAGGTCCATGTACTAGTAGAGGTCCATGGTCTAGCAGAGGTCCATGGTCTAGCAGAGGTCCATGGTCTAGCAGAGGTCCATGGTCTAGAGGTCCATGGTCTAGTAGAGGTCCATGCTCTAGTAGAGGTCTATGGTCTAGTAGAAGTTCATGCTCTAGTAGAGGTTCATGTACTAGTAGAGGTCCATTCTCTAGTAGAGGTCCATGGTCTAGTAGAAGTCCATGCTCTAGTAGAGGTCCATTTACTAGTAGAAGTCCATTTACTAGTAGAAATCTATGCTGTAGTAGAGGTCCATGCTCTAGTAGAGGTCCATTTTCTAGTAGAAGTCCATGCTCTAGTAGAGGTTCATGCTCTAGTAGAGGTCCATGCTACAGTAGAGGTTCATGCTCTAGTAGAGGTCCCAGTGTCCATGGTCTAGTAGAGGTCCATGGTCTAGTAGAGGTCCATGGTCTAGCAGAGGTCCATGGTCTAGCAGAGGTCCATGGTCTAGTAGAGGTCCATGTCATGCTCTAGTAGAGGTCCATGTACTAGTAGAGTCCATGTCTAGTAGAGGTCCATGCTCTAGTAGAGGTCCATGCTCTAGTAGAGGTCCATGGCTACTAGTAGAGTATGAGTCTAGTAGAGGATCATGCTCTAGTAGAGGTCCATGTACTAGTAGTAGAGCAGGTCCATGGTCTAGTAGAGGTCCATGTCTAGTAGAGGTCCATGGTCTAGTAGAGGTCCATGGTCTAGTAGAGGTCCATGGTCTAGAGTCTAGCAGAGGTCCATGGTCTAGCAGAGGTCCATGGTCTAGCAGAGGTCCATGGTCTAGCAGAGGTCCATGGTCTAGCAGAGGTCCTAGCAGAGGTCCATGGTCTAGTAGAGGTCCATGGTCTAGTAGAGGTCCATGCTCTAGTAGAGGTCTATGGTCTAGTAGAAGTTCATGCTCTAGTAGAGGTTCATGTACTAGTAGAGGTCCATTCTCTAGTAGAGGTCCATGGTCTAGTAGAGGTCCATGCTGCAGTAGAGGTCTATTTACTAGTAGAAGTCCATGCTCTAGTAGAGGTCCATGCTCTAGTAGAGGTCCATGTACTAGTAGATGTCCATGCTCTAGTAGATGTCCATGCTCTAGTAGATGTCCATGTACTAGTAGATGTCCATGCTCTAGTAGAGGTCCATGCTCTAGTAGAGGTCCATGCTACAGTAGAGGTTCATGCTCTAGTAGAGGTCCATGTACTAGTAGAGGTCCATGGTCTAGTAGAGGTCCATGGTCTAGCAGAGGTCCATGGTCTAGCAGAGGTCCATGGTCTCTAGTAGAGGTCCATGGTCTAGTAGAGGTCCATGCTCTAGTAGAGGTCTATGGTCTAGTAGAAGTTCATGCTCTAGTAGAGGTTCATGTACTAGTAGAGGTCCATTCTCTAGTAGAGGTCCATGGTCTAGTAGAAGTCCATGCTCTAGTAGAGGTCCATTTACTAGTAGAAGTCCATTTACTAGTAGAAATCTATGCTGTAGTAGTAGAGTCCATGCTCTAGTAGAGGTCCATTTTCTAGTAGAAGTCCATGCTCTAGTAGAGGTCCATTTTCTAGTAGAAGTCCATGCTCTAGTAGAGGTCCATGTACTAGTAGATGGTCATGCTCTAGTAGATGTCCATGTACTAGTAGATGTCCATGCTCTAGTAGATGTCCATGCTCTAGTAGAGGTCCATGTACTAGCAGAGGTCCATGCTCTAGTAGAGGTCCATGTACTAGCAGAGGTCCCATATACTAGTGGAAGTTCATGCTGCAGTAGACGTCCATGCTCCAGTAGAGGTCCATGCTCTAGTAGAGGAAATCCTCAATTAGAGGTCAATGTTTAACAGGTCCACATTCTAGTAGATGTCCATGCTCTAGTAGAGGTCCATAGTCTAGTAGAGGTCCACTTTCTAGTAGATGTCCATGCTCTTGTAGAGGTCCATTCTCTAGCAGAGGTCCATGTTCTAGTAGATGCCTATGCTCTAGTAGAGATCCATGTAGTAGTAGAGGTCCATAGAATGAGGAGATGACAGCAGCAGGCATTGAAACTTCATCTACAAGAGCAGCAGTGCCCGTGACAGGAAAATGTGGAGCAGGCACTTGACCAGACACCAAGTAGGACAGCCCAGGCTTTATAACTGGAGCAGGATCATCAAGCAGGCCAGGTTCAGTGACGGGTAAAAAGAGAGCGCCAAACAAACGAAAATTCCTCAGGAGTCCAAAGTCTTTATAGTTCAGCTTATTACAACAAGCAGAGCAAAGGACCACCAACGCGTTTCAGGGGCCACATATTCATTCGTTCATTAATAGGCAGACAGCCAGGTACTTTTACAACCGGCAGAATGAGAAGGAAGACAAACTGAGGTAAGTAACAGGAAATCATGGGTGTAATGGTCGTAGAGCCCAAAGTCAGGCAAGGAAGGGGAGCCGTGTAGGTAAAGCAGAGCATACACAGGCACAGGAAAGGCCGGGTCAGGGTGCAAATAAATAGCTGAAGACCAGCCGGAAATCCAGACTAAGGCTAACCCTTAAATAGCCCATTTGGTACCAATGCCAACACCAGGCACGGGCGCTCTGGGAAGGGTGCGGACAGGTAAACTCCTCTAAGCAGGTGCATGCCCGGCCATAAAGTGCAGAGTCGGGAGCAGGGACTCATGCGTGTGCAGGTACCTCGTGCTGGCAGCATGCTATAGTAGTCCGCAACGCCAGCTTCACATGCAGCATTTCCACGGCATTTTGTTATGGTTACATATCTCTAATAAGAGTCACATATTCCATTGCTTTTGTTATCAGGCCAAAGGGCTCCGGCTGCTTGCAACCGTGTATCTGGAATGGGACTGCAGATTGTACCAAGATAAGGCACTAAATGCCGTTGGATTAGCAAATGAGGTAAATGCAAGACGTAAAAGTGATCAGATGAATGTCAAGCATCAGATTGTGTTACTGGGTATTGTTTGTGACCGTGTGCACACGAGAGAGCTCATATCTCCTCATTACGTAGACAGGTTCTGCTTCCTCATCGTGCCTGGCTATTATCACATGGTGTACAGACAACCCTCAGCTCTATGGACCTCCTAAAGAACTTGTAGGGCTAGCATGTAATGTGTTCCCACATATAAAACATGAGAAAATGCAGCACAACATATATATATATATATATATATACAAATGTGGTGCTAACAAGACCACCACACAAAGATAGATCCCCTTCAGTGTCAACAGATCCTCCAGCAGCCTACAAGAACATATCCTCCAGCAGCCCACAAGAACAGATCCTCCAGAAGCTTCAAGAACAGATCCTCCAGAAGCCTACAAGAACAGATCCTCCAGCAGCCCACAAGAACAGATCATCCAGAAGCCCACAAGAACAGATCCTCCAGAAGCCTACAAGAACAGATCCTCCAGCAGACTACAAGAACAGATCCTCCAGCAGCCCACAAGAACAGATCATCCAGAAGCCTACAAGAACAGATCCTCCAGAAGCCTACAAGAACAGATCCTCCAGCAGCCTACAAGAACAGATCCTCCAGAAGCCTACAAGAACAGATCCTCTAGAAGCCTACAAGAACAGATCCTCCAGCAGACTACAAGAACAGATCCTC